GCACTAGATAGATTTAAAAATAGGTAAGTAGATAGACTGGCATACTTCTTTCTCCCTTCTTCCCCAACCCTCATCTGAACCTTGGTATCTTCCGTTCTCAGCCTTCGTAGTTCTTGGAAGTATCTTCACTGTGTGGAGCATTACATACACACATGTACATACTTCCACATTAAGTGTATACTGAGCTGTTCCCTCAGTCCATTGTTTGTGGGGGATGATAAAATGTGATCTGCAGAGTAATGGCTTTATTTATTTTATGTTACTTAATTTTAAATCACTTTTTAAAAGTTTTAATTGGATCTGTTTTATATAAGCTTATTCTGGCCTGGAAATCACAATTCTCTTCCCTCACTGACCCAAGTGCCGGGATTACGGGCCTGTGTGACCATACCTGGGCAGTGTTTTGTTTTCTAATGTGGATTGATGTTCATGACTGCCGCCTTCCTCCTCCCCCCATTTTGATGTTCATCTCTTTGTAATGAATAGGTTTGTTTGTTTTTTCCCCTTTTTGAGACACAGCTAGGTTGGCTTGAGCTGGTGCTCTGTTAGTTCTGGGGTTGTGTGCATGCACTGTTCCTGGCTGGTGGTCTTCCCTTTGACATACTTGTCCAAATAACAGTGGAGAAATGATCTTATAGTAGTGTCTGGGGAAAAAAAACATTTTCTTTCTGTTCTCACATAAAATGATGAATGAACAAACAAGTTTGGTTTGTTTTGGCAGATTGAAGGACTATCCTCAGTATTGTCAGCATTTGGCTTCTATTAGTCACTTTATGCAGTTTCCACATCATTTGCAGGAGGTAAGTGCCCTGGTCTGTAACACTTGTTGGGTGGGCAGAGGCTTTATCTCCTTTGATCTGTTTGGAGATTTGTGAGGAATACTACTGAGATGATTTTTTTTTATATAATTTTTTTTATTACTGCATGTATATGTATAAAAACATGCACTTTTCATGGCCTGTATGGAGGTCAGAGGACAACTTCTGTGTCATTTTTTCCTCTTTCATGTTCATATATGTTCTTGGGATTCAGCTGCAGTTCCTTGGGCTTCCTGGGCAAGTATTGTTACTGCAATACAACACACACTGTGGTATGTTTGAAGCCAGTGTTCAATAAAAACGCTTGACATAAAGTTTGAATTTTTAGGGATTTAAGGAATTTTATTTATAGATATCTGAGACTACTTTTTAATCATTTTTATTATTATTTGTTATGTGCATTGATGTTTTGCCTGCATGTATGTCTGTGTGAGGGTGTTGGATCCTCTGGGACTGGGGTTACAGACAGTTGAGAGCTGCCATGTGGGTGCTGGGAACTGAACCTGGATACTCTAAAAGAGCAGTCAGTGCTCTCAACTGCTGAGCCATCTCTCCAGCCCCCTGAGACTACTTTTTCTTTTTTCTTTCTTTTTTTCCCCTCGAGACAGGGTTTCTCTGTGTAGTTTTTGGTGCCTGTCCTGGATCTCACTGTAGACCAGGGTAGCCTTGAACTCACAGAGATCCATCTGGCTCTGCCTCCGAATGCTGGGATTAAAGGCTTATGCCACCGCTGCCCAGCCCCTGAGACTACTTTTTAAAGTTGTTAAAAGTTGCCAGTCTAGTTTAAAGCACTTTAACATACTAATATTTTATCTTAACAGGAGTTCACGGTGTCTACTTACATATTGGTGTCAGTAAGGGGCAAGGATTAAGTGAGATGGACTAAAAGAAAACTTTGAAATTATTTTTATCCTTTCATAAGTGAAGGACATATAAGACAAATTTTTTCATTTCAGTTGGGCAGTGGTGGTACACGCCTTTAATCCCAGCACTTGGGAGGAAGAGGCAGGTGGTTCTCTGAGTTCGAGGCCAACCTGGTCTACAGAGTGAGCTCTAGGACAAGCCAGGGCTGTTACACAGAGAAACCCTCTCTCAAAAAAATGAAAAAAGAAAAGAAAAATTTGCCCCCATTTCTGTTAAGAAGCCTCAATGTGTTTGCTTTTGTACCCATACAGTACATCGAATATGGACAGCAGTCTCGAGACCCTCCTGTGAAAATGCAGGGCTCTATCACGACCCCTGGAAGTATTGCACTGGCTCAGGCCCAGGCCCAGGCCCAGGCTCCAGCCAAAGCTCCTCTTGCGGGTCAGGTTAACACAATGGTAACCACCTCAACAACCACCACTGTTGCTAAAACGGTTACAGTCACCAAGCCAACGGGAGTTAGCTTTAAGAAAGATGTGCCAGTAAGTAGGTCTTTTTGCTTTTCCAGGTATAAATATGTAGTAGAGAATTTGTACGTTATTTTATTGTAAGCATAAAGATGAGCATTTCTTCCTGTCTTCCCCCAGAGACCCCTGTGTAATAGTTTAACAATGGGCTTAAGTATCTTACCAATGTAGTTATACCATGTGTGTTTTCATGCTAATGGAATCTCTCTATAATCTTTTAAAAAATGTTTCACTACCTTTATGTTTTGGCACTTAGTTCGTGTGTTTGTGATGTGTATGTGGAGGTCTCCTCGCATGTGGTCCCAGGCAGTAAACTCAGGCCTTCAGGCTTGGGGCACGTGCTTTTGTCCTCGGAGCTGCTGTCTTCCAGCGCTTCTGTTGTCTGCTTTTCCAGTGAAGCAGCTCCACTATTTTAACCAGTGTATTTTATTACTTCTAGCCTTCTATAAATACAACAAATATAGATACATTGCTTGTGGCCACAGATCAAACTGAGAGGATTGTCGAGCCCCCAGAAAATATCCAAGAGAAAATTGCTTTTATCTTCAACAATCTCTCACAGTCAAATATGACCCAGAAGGTAAGCATGCTATAATAGCTTATGAAATGCCCTCTCTTTTTCCTTAATGGATAGAGGGATTTTTTAAAAACCTTTTTAGTTCAGTAAGTCAGGTACATGGTATGAGTCAGCAGTCTGAGCTGCTGAGGAGGCCAAAGTGAGACAATTAACTTAAACACAAGGAATTTAAGACCAGCTTTTTCTATCATGTAGTGATAGAGAGCCTGTCTAAAAACAAAAGTGAACAATCTCAATTTTTTTTTCTGTTTTGTTTTTCGAGATAGGGTTTCCCTGTGTAGCTTTGGCCTTTCCTGGAACTCACTTGGTAGCCCAAGCTGGCCTTGAACTCACGGAGATCTGCCTGGCTCTGCCTCCCAAGTGCTGGGATTAAAGGCATGCGCCACCACCGCCCCGCCAATCTCAATTTAAAAGGTATAATTTTAGCTGGTGGCACATGTCTTTAAAAAAGAGAAAAGTATTTTTGTAGGAATTAAACAGTATCCATTTTAGATGTATTATTTTGCAGTTGTAGCCTGTTTGAAATAATGTTATGCTCTCCTGATAAGAGAAGTGTTATTTTTGATGGCAGGTTTTTGTTTGAGACTGGGTCTCATTAAGTAGCCTTGGCCAGCCTGGAGCTCACTTTGTTAACCACGATGGCCTCTAAATTCTATCTGCCACCCAAGCTTAAAGGTCTGCGCCACCATGCCCAAGCTTGATGGAAGGTTTTTTTGCTTTTTGTTTTAATCTTCTTCCAGAAACTATGTTAAGTGTTTATTAGACCCACAATAAGTACTGTGAGTTAGAGCTTTGACAAGCATACGGACGGTGCTTGCCTTCTGAGAGGAATGATTAAGATAGTGCTTTGAGATGACAGTCTTGAGGATTATCGTAGGAAGTGGGCTCTGGGCTGAGAGTGATGGCACGTGGTGACATAGTGGTAGAGGACATCTGAATTTGAAGCCAGCCCGGGCTCCAGTGTGAGATCCGAGCAACAGACTCTGCCTCAAAAAAAAAAAAAGGGAAGTTTAATATGCTGGCCCTTGGGGTATAAGCTTGTAATACCAGCACTTGGGGATCTTTTAAAATCTGAGGAGTACTTGTCAAAATATCACGGAAAGAACCAACTTAGTAGTTCAGTAGCATGCTAAAGTTTATGGAGCTGGATGCTGTGTGGTGTGATTCATAGAACCCAGGCTTCATTTTATCTCTTTTTCTATTTGTACTAATTCTTTATTGCCTGTGTCATATTGATTGGCTAGGTTGAAGAGCTTAAAGAAACTGTGAAGGAAGAATTTATGCCTTGGGTTTCTCAGTATCTAGTTATGAAAAGAGTCAGTATTGAGCCAAACTTTCATAGCCTGTATTCAAACTTTCTTGACACATTGAAAAATCCAGAATTTAACAAGATGGTTCTGAATGAGACCTACAGAAACATTAAGGTAAGAGTTCTTACATGTCTTTTAGTAATTGCTTTAAGTTTATTTTAGCAGATAGAACTTAGGATCATTTGTTCTTTTTCCCTTTGTTATCTGTTAGATACCCATGGAAAGTGCTGTAGGTTTTATGATGTTTAACTACTGGGTTCTATAAACTTAATTTTAAATTACTCATGCACATGCTTGTGCTCGGGGGATAGCTTTCAGGACGTGGTTCTCTATAATATGGATCTCTGGCTCAAACTCAGAATATCTGGTTTGGTGGCCAACACTTTAACTTGCTGAATCCTCTAGCTGGCCCAAGAATTTAATCTTTTAACCTTGTGTATTGTTTAAGTGTAATGCCCTTTTAAAATTTGTTTTCATCTTTCCATGTGTGGTGACTTCAGAAGTTTGCTTTCTGTTACATGGAACTATTCAGTGTATTTGTGGCATATTGTCTTGTTGACCTGGTCACACACATCCACTTCTCCCTCATCTCTTTGGAGGGTGTGTGGAACATGTTCACAGTTCTCTATTTTGGTTTTTAAGAACTAGAAATAGCCTTAGAGAAAACCATTCTGCTGGTCAAGTGTTGGCTATCTAGATTCCAGACCTATTTGTGAAATAGCTTTGGTTCTGGGATTCTTTGCAGTATAAAGTCAGACTCTTATTATACTTGTTCCATAAAGTTTGACTGTTTCGTTTTTAAAGTACCATTTATATTTGAAAATGAAACTATTTCAAGAAACAGTAAAATCGGATAGAGCTGAGATCATCCATTGTTGAGTAACTTGGGTCTGGCTTAGGAAGTAGCACTATATTTAAACCTGTGGATGGGAATTTTCCCCATTCTTGGTTACGCTGTAGTGCAAAAAGAATTCCTGGCTCCTTCTTGCACAGCTGACTTGTGTTATTTGGCTGTTGCTTTATGGAGTTAAGGAACATAATGTTCAGATTTTGTTATCTTATAGTAAGGATTATTGTAATCTTGGGAAGTTCCCATGTAGTCTATGGCAAATTTCAATAATAACCATTTTTGTTTAGTTATTCTGTCATGCTGGGATTCCAACTCAGAGTCTTGTTTATGATAGATAGTATTCCACCTATTGAACTCCTTAAAACTTATTTTCAAACGTTTGCTAGTGAACATAGTAAGATAATATCAATATGATACATGGAATTGATCTTTGGGTATATTCTCAGAATTGATAGCTTACTTTTAGAATGGGTAATGGGATTCTCAAATATGAAATTGAGAATTTCTTTCATAAGCTTATTCTTATATTTATAAATCCTTAACTATTGTAGGTGCTGCTGACCTCTGATAAAGCTGCGGCCAATTTCTCAGATCGTTCTTTGCTGAAGAATTTGGGACATTGGCTGGGAATGATCACATTAGCTAAAAATAAGCCCATCTTGCACACGGTGAGTTTTCAGATAGATATACATGTATAAAAGTTGGCTGGGGCCGGGCGGTGGTGGCGCACGCCTTTAATCCCAGCACTCGGGAGGCAGAGCCAGGCGGATCTCTGTGAGTTCGAGGCCAGCCTGGGCTACCAAGTGAGTTCCAGGAAAGGCGCAAAGCTACACAGAGAAACCCTGTCTCGAAAAACCAAAAAAAAAAAAAGGTTGGCTGGAAGGAATGTTTTAATTATCACTGGGCTTTTACAAGACTTTGAGCATGTTAGGATTCTTAATTCTATGTCCGATGGGCTCTTTTAGGATAGAGGAAAGCCAGTGAGGTATGCTTGCTCGTACCCCCTTTTTCTCAGGCAAGGGTCAGATAATGTATTGATGCGATTTTGAGAGATGAGCTTAGTAAGTGAGATACTTTTCCTGGGTTTTTATTTTCTATTTTTTTCCCTGAGGGTTTCTGGAACAGATTCTCAGCTTCTCAAAAGTTTTGTTTTAAAATTCTAGGACTTGGATGTGAAATCTTTGCTGCTAGAGGCTTACGTTAAAGGACAACAAGAGTTGCTTTACGTAGTGCCCTTTGTTGCCAAAGTTCTAGAGTCCAGCATTCGTAGTCTGGTGAGTAAATGCTGTTCATGGTGAATTGTGAGAGACTGTTAACACAATTCCCAAGAGAGTATAGCTTTGTTCTTGTGTACATAGAGCTATTTCAATAGGTCTTCCTTAGTTGATCTTAGATATTTGTAAAGTTAGGTGAAATTATAAGACAGAATGGATCAACTTTGATGTTGTTCTGGAATGTATTGTAGGGGTTTTGTCAGGGTCCCATAAATTTGTGTTGAACTAATACTAAATAATGGTTTGATTAAGAGCTAGCTTAATACCATAACTTTTCTTTAGGTTTTTAGACCACCAAACCCCTGGACAATGGCAATTATGAATGTATTGGCTGAGCTGCACCAGGAACATGACTTAAAGGTAAAATTGTTGCTTCACCCTTGGAGAATTCTCTGCCTTAAGATGATTAAACTTTGTATTAAAGACAACGGGGCAGTGGGCATTGTACCATTGGATTGAGGGGTAGTATATATTATGAAGAAAGCTCAAATTTTCTCTTCAAAATTCTAATCAAATACTGGAATTATTCAGTTAAACTTGAAGTTTGAAATTGAGGTGCTCTGTAAGAACCTTGCATTAGACATCAATGAGCTCAAACCTGGAAACCTGCTGAAAGATAAAGATCGCCTGAAGAACTTGGATGAACAGCTCTCTGCTCCAAAGAAAGATGTCAAACAGCCGGAAGAGCTTCCTGCAATCACGACGACAAGTAAGTGCAGAAGTCCAGCCTTTGTTAGCCAGAACCTTCTCAAATGGTACATATCCACATAAGCAAACCATTAAATGTCCCACGTTGTGCAGAATTTTACTTACTTTTTGGTGAGCCTTCTAATTATCAAGTGAGAGTAACATCTAAGGGTAGTCACCTTATCAGATTGTCTCTCATCTCAACATAATCTTAAGCAAATATGAGTCAGTTAATTGTCTTTGTATCATAACCAGACTAGTTTATCTCTTACATTATTTGAAGTGTCAAGAGTACTTGAATGGCACAATAGCCTGCATTATTCCTTAAAATCTAGGGTTTGTCAGATCAGGCCCATCTGCTAGCAGAACATTATTTTACCTGTATCAAGACGATCAGGACTGGGTTTAGGGGTACAGGTCTGTAATCCTAGCACTTGAAAAGCTAAAGCCAGGAGGATTGTGAGTTTGAGGCCAACTTAAGCTACATATTTAGTTCTCACCCAGCCTGGGACCCTGACAAGTAAACGTGTGTGTGTGTGTGTGTGTGTGTGTGTGTGTGTGTGTGTGTGTGTGTGTGTGTGTGTGTGATGTAGTTGTGTTAAACAGTGAGGTATTGGTAGACTAGACCAGCCAGCACCCTGAACCGTTTTCTCCCTTGCTCTTGGCATCTGACAGATTTCAGGTGAATCTGGTAACAGCTAGGTTAAAGACCGGTGAAGATAGGTACCCACGGCTAGTGTAGATTTACACTTAAAGTGTTTCTGTGCGGCCGGGTGTGGTGGGGCATGCCTTTAATGCCACCACGTGGGAGACAGGAAGGTAGATCTCTGTGTGTTCGAGGCCAGCCTGTTCTACAGAATGAGTTTCAGAACAGCCAGATCTGTTACATGGAGAAAACTGTCTCGAAAAAAAAACATTTAAACAAACAAAAAATGTTTCTGTGCTGTGGAACACTGCCACTGATGGACATTTATATACTTGGCTCATAGTTCATGTAGTAGCAAAATTTCTTTTTCAGGATGGGAAAGATGTGACCTCAGCTGCCTCCTTCTCAAGAGTCTAATCAGTTAGTTGAAGTAGATAAAATCCACTTAATGGCCAGCTGATTTTTGCATATATTCAACAAATGTGCTCTTATCTCTTTACACCTAGCAACTTCAACAACACCAGCTACCAGTACTACGTGTACAGCCACAGTTCCACCACAGCCTCAGTACAGCTACCACGACATCAATGTCTATTCTCTTGCAGGCCTGGCACCACACATTACTCTAAACCCTACAGTAAGTAAAACTGATCTTTCCTGCTTTCTTTCTTTGTTGAAAAGATTGATTTATCGTGTGTGTGATTGCTTTACCTGCATGTATATATGTGTACTACATGCATGTCAGGTACATCAGATTTCCTGGAACTGGAGTTGTGGATGATTGTGAGCTACCAGATTGGTTCTGTGAATCGAACCCTGGTCTTCTACAAGAGCAGCAAGTGCCTAACCACTGGGCCTTCGCTGTTCACCATCTTCCCCTATGAGGTTTTTTGTTTTTTTTTGTTTGTTTTTTTTTTTCTTCTTCAAATGTCTTTAATCCCAGCACTCAGGAGGCACAGGCGGGCTGATCTCTGGGGAGTTGGCCAGCTTGTTTCAGCTTGTTTCACACAAATCCTCTGTGTGTGTGTGTGTGTGTGTGTGTGTGTGTGTGTGTGTGTGTGTGTGTGTGTGCGTGTGTGTGTGTGTGTGTGTGTGTGTGTGTATGTATTTTGAGGGATCTATAATGCATGTAGTACAAGTAGGATCCCCTTGCTTGTAAAAATAGTCTTTCAGTGGTTGGGATTCCTATTTGTTCCTCTTACCCTACTCCACAGTGATTTAATTATACCAGCAATAAAATCACGATTTTGTATAATCCATACATAGGTCAAAAGATTGTTGTTAATGTATGCTGTAGTAGTTTTTCTTTTGTTTCATTGTCATGTTACTTTGGCGTAGTATTAAACCATTTCTTTTGGCAGACTGCAGTTTGTACATTAGAATTTCTAAGCCACGAGTCTTTCACATTTATTTTTATTTGATATGTATGAGTGTTTTGTCTGCATGTGTTCTGTGCATGTCACATGTGTGCCTGAGGATCAGAAGGTGACACCAGATCCCCTGGAATTGGAATTACAGACCATTATAAAGCTGCCATGTGGGTGCTGGGAACCAAATCCTGGGGCCTCCACAAGAGAAGCAAGTGCTCTCAACCAATGAGCCGTCTTCTGTCCCTTAGAATTTACTTTTTTTGGTTGTTTGGCGTTTTTTTGTTTTTGTTTTTGGAGACAGTTTCTCTCTGAAACAGCCCTGGCTGTCCTGGAATTCGCTTTGTAGACCAGGCTGGCCTCAAACTCACAGAGATTTGCCTGCCTCTGCCTCCTGAGTGCTGGGATTAAAGACGTAAGCCACCAGCTCACAAGGAGCCAGCTGGCAAGGAATTGCCTTTTTAACAATTAATCTAGCCATAATTTTAAATTAGAAAGTCATGTGTCTATAAGTGAGTAATAGGTGTTTAAAGAGCAGTTTGCCTGTTAAAATTGAAGGGAATTTAAAAAAAAAGAAAGAAAACAAAAAAAAAAAACAAAACAAAACAACAGATTACAGGTTATACTGACAGCGCCGCCCCCCCCCCCCCCCCCGCCCCCGCCCCCGCCCGCTGCTCTGTAATTTGTATAGCATTGAAAGAATACGAGTCACTATCTGGGTGTCTTATTTCAATAATAAGCTGATGATGTGGTTTGTGCCTCTCTTTGTCCTTCCAGATCCCTTTGTTTCAGGCTCACCCACAATTGAAGCAGTGTGTGCGGCAAGCAATTGAACGGGCTGTCCAGGAGCTGGTCCATCCTGTGGTAGATCGGTCAATTAAGATTGCCATGACTACTTGTGAACAGATAGTCCGAAAGGATTTTGCCCTGGATTCTGAGGAATCTAGAATGCGGATAGCAGCTCATCACATGATGCGGAACTTGACAGCTGGAATGGCTATGATTACTTGCAGGGAGCCTTTACTGATGAGCATATCTACCAACCTAAAAAACAGTTTTGCCTCAGCCCTTCGTGTAAGTTGATTATTTTGTGTACCATCAAATTCATTACTTGTCTGCCAGAGTCAGTTTTTGCCTGTGGCATTGACTGTTACTATTTGATCCTAAAATAACCCATTTTTTTTTTTTTTTCTTTTTAAATGTCTTCCTCTTCCCC